GAGCTAACATCTGCCAATCCTCCTCTTTTTGCTGAGGAATACTGGCCCTGGGCTAACATCCGTGCCCATCTTCCTCCACTTTATATGGGACACCACCACAGCATGGCCTGACAAGCGGTGCGTTGGTGCACACCTGGAATCCAAACCCGGGCCGCCAGCAGCGGAGTGCGTGCACTTAACCACCTAGCCACAGGGCCGGCCCCCATCTAGTGGTTTTTAAAGTAAGTGATGCAACTCAAAAATAAGAAGCAGCTAGAGTAAAAAGCTAAACATTTAGCCAGGTCTTTCTTCTGCACACTTACATTCAACTTAATTTCATAAACTTGTACTAAGTAACTATCAAGTGACTCTAGTAATAAAGGAAAAATAACATTCTACATCTGAGCCACCATAGATCCCTTTGGGACAAGACAGGATATAAAAATGTACATACCCAAGATTGCTTAACTTAAACTCATATAATGCTTTGCAACTTACGAAACATTCTTTTCATACATTCTTCATTTCATTTTCACAATAATATATAAGATTTTGTTTTGTTTTTTACTCCCCATCTCTGAGATGAGGAAACAAGAGGCTCAGCCCCATGGCCTGATAGTAAATGACAGATGTCTGACTCTCTTTCACCAATACCTTAGAGCCTCATTTCCCAAGACTTAAACACTGAAAGATATAGGAGAAAACCTCTGACGTTCTCAAACACCATCAACGTACCACTCCGGGGAATATTTTCTGGAGCCGGTCTGCTGCAGCCAGGGCCTTGGGCTTACCACTTGCTAGGCAATCTTCGAATTCGTAGAGAGGCTGCCTCACAGGATTGGAGTACGAGATCTTGGCATTGTCTACAAATGTGATGTGTCTAACGCCCCAACCCTGCATGGAAAGAGGAGATCATGGTGTGTCTCTGATGAACATTTCACAGGGTATCTCCTTTGAAATCCCTAAAAGGAGTTTTTCTTTGGAGCAGGTTGGGATATTTAGAAATTAAATTGTGCAAATTCAGTTTTTAATAAACAGAGTGTCAACTTCCTTTGAAAGACAAAATAACTATATACCCAGTGCCTGGTTTCCTGCTGTAATGAGACTAAGAAATGTCAGAGTACATCTGACTAATGATTCATTATTTTTGACAGTGGCACCAGAGAAAGATTTGAAAATTAGTCCCATAAGAACAGTCTATGTTGCTGTCTTCAAGGGATTAGCAACAGCCCCCAAATGTCCTTGCTTTCCCTTAATGAATAATTAAGTATAAATAACAGCTCATCTTAAAACTCACTTAAAGCCTGAAATAACTCCTCAGAAAAATGACTTACAGGTTATTTCCCACTGTATAATACTGTAGAAGATTTTTTACTACCTCTCCAAGAGGCAAAAGCTTTATTAATATTCTGGAACATAGAGGATGATTCTGTAATCTCAGAAATAGGTTTCATGATTTCATATATTTCAATTACATCTCCTATAAAGGCGTATAGAAACACACAATTTCAAAGTTAGGTGGGATCTCTAAAATCCTTGGTCCAATTACTTTGTTTTGAAGATATGAAAACTGAATCCCAGAAAAGATAAGTGAGATAAGATTCACTTAAGGTCACAGACCTGGTTAACGGTGGGGAGAAAATGAGATCCAAAGTTGCAACCAAAAGAAGATGCCTACTTTTTAGGGGATAATGTGGGGTGTGTATATTTCAGCAGATCATAAACAAGCAGTGATCTAAGAGGAGCTCTGCCATGACTGGTTACAAAGCTAAGATTCTGCTCTCTCTTTTATTTCAATATCCTTCCATTAGGGACTTTGAAACTCAATTAGACCGATGATTTCAGGAGGACAGTCAACAGGAACCCAAGATCCGTTTTCAGGGTTGAAAACGACAGGCCAGAATCCATCCTTTCAAAAGCATAGTTTAGATTGGCTGGGTTTTTTTTGTGAGGAAGATCAGCCCTGAGCTAACATCCATGCCTATCCTCCTCTTTGCTGAGAAAGACCGGCCCTGAGCTAACATCCATGCCCATCTTCCTCCACTTTATGTGGGACGCTGCCACAGCATGGCCTGACAAGCGGTGCATCGGTGCGTGCCCGGGATCCGAACCTAGGCCGCCAGCAGCGGAGCGCACACACTTAACCACTAGGCCACGGGCCCGGCCCTGGCTGTTTGTTTTGAAGCTCACTGGTAACTTTTTGGTCTACTCACCCAGTTTTTTTTTTTAAAGATTTTATTTATTTATTTATTTTCCTCCAAAGCCCCAGTAGATAGTTGTATGTCATAGCTGCACATCCTTCTAGTTGCTGTATGTGGGACGCGGCCTCAGCATGGCCGGAGAAGCGGTGCGTCGGTGCACACCCGGGATCTGAACCCGGGCCAACAGCAGCAGAGCACACACACTTAACCGCTAAGCCACGGGGCCGGCCCTACTCACCCAGTTTTATAAGTGACTTTCACCAGCTAAGTAATCTACCATGGAGTGGGAACAAAGGTATGGAAAATCCAAAAGTCACTTGTTCTTGGTTTGAGGATATTTCTTTCTGAAGTGTTTTTACATTCCTTAAAGTAATGCTGAGTGGATAGCAAGGAAGGCAGTCTGGGAACATGCTGGACAGTGGGAAGAAGACCAGATAAATTACAAATACGCCATAGGTTAGTCACAGGCAGGTGGACTTTGACACTTAACTTTTGGCTTCCTGGAATGCTACACAGTTTAAATGGCTAATCTGCAAAGATTAAAGAAAATTACAATACTCAAAGCTGGTGAGGATGTGGTGGTGAAAAAACTATTTTACTGGTTGAGAATGTCAACTGGTGTAATTTTTCTGGAAAGGAATTTGGCAATATGTTTCTAGAATTTTCTTAAATGTTCATATCCTTTGAGCTACTTCCAGCAATCTATCCTAAGGAAACACTTCCAGCAATCTATCCTAGGGAATAATCTGAAATATCGACAAAAATGCAATCACAAAGATGTTCTCTGCAACATAATTTATACTTGTAAAAAATTGGAAATAATGTTAACACTTAACATTAGGGGAATGTCTCAGTAAATTATGTTTCATCATATAAGAAGGCATATTCTACAGCCATTAAAAAGGCTTTATAGGCATCCTTTTTAATGACGAGAAAGTGTTTACAGCATTAATTGATAAAAGGGACATTTTTATATATCAAATGAGACTTAAAAATATACATTAAGGGCCGGCCCCATGGTGTAACAGTTAAGTGTGCGCGCTCTGCTGCTGGCGGCCCGGGTTCAGATCCCAGTCGTGCACTGATGCACCGCTTGTCAGGCCATGCTGTGGTGGCGTCCCATATAAAGTAGAGGAAGATGGGCAAGGATGTTAGCCCAGGGCCAGTCTTCCTCAGCAAAAAGAGGAGGATTGGTATCGGATATTAGCTCAGAGCTGATCTTCCTCACACACACACACAAAATATATATATATATATATATATATATACACACACACACACACATTAAACACTGAAAGGAAATAAGTGAAAAAGTAGGAAAATGGGTGTCTTTTTTCCTGCTTTATAACTTTTACACTTTACAAATCTTCTACAACAGGTCTACACTGACTCTATAATTTTTTGTGTGTGTTTGTAAGGAAGATTAGCCCTGAGGTAACATCCATTGCTAATCCTCCTCTTTTTGCTGAGGAAGATTGGCCCCCGGCTAACATCCGTGCCCATCCTCCTCTACTTTATATGGGACTCTGCCACAATATGGCTTGATAAGCGGTGCGTCTGTCCGTGCCCAGGATCCAAACCCTCAAACCCCAGGCCGCTGAAGCAGAGCGCGCGAACCTAACCGCTACGCCACCAGGCCAGCCCCCTGACTTTATAATTTTTAAGCTATGTTAAGAAAACCTAAGCACCTAATTCCAGAAGCTAGAAAAAAGAACAATAAATTCCACAAAATTTCTTCCAAAAGAAGAAATTAATGAAGATAAAAGTAGATATGAATGAATTTGAAAGCAAAATGAAAAAAAAATTATAGAACTAATAAATAAATCAAACATTCAGTTCTCTGCAAAGAGTGATAAAATAGGCCTCTCTGGCAAGTTTGAATAAGAGAAAAAAGGATAAAACATACTATACAACATTAGGAATGAGGAAAGATTAAAAAGAAGATAAAGACAAGATTTAAAAGATAAGAGAATATCATATGTATTTTATGTCAATTAATTTTTAAATTTAGATGAAATGGATTATTTTCTAGGAAAACAACATGACTAAACTGATTCAAAAGTGGTATAAAACCTAAAAAGGTCAATCAACATAGGACCATTTGTAAAAGTTTCCAAAGATTCCTTGCTCCCACCACCAAGAAAATTCCAAAAGGCACCAAGCCCAGTGGGATTTATAACTGAATTTTACAAAATTATCAAGGAACAGATAAGTTATATACTTAAAATATCCTAGAATATAGAAAAGGGCAGAAAGTTTTATTTTATAAAGCTAGCATAACTCAGCTATAAGATATAAAGAGACACTACAAAGAAAAACATTACTATAGACCGACTTGACTTATGAATACAGATGTAAAAATTAGAAATAAAAGATTACCAGTTGAATCCCATAGTATACGAGAAGAATAACAAACATGAACAAATAGGGTTTTTTCTAGCAGTGCTCAACATTAGAATACTTTGATTATCTTGATAGATATATTTCTTAAGGCTCAACAATCATTTCTGATATAAACTCACAGTAAGTGAGAAATAGAAATCAGCTTCCTTAACTTCTAAAAGAGCATTTAGCAGAAACCAATATCACTTATCAAAATTAAAGGTAAAACAAGAAGTTTCTCATTAAAGTCAGTAATAAAATGAGGACACCAACACTCACTGCTATTCCTCAACATTACTACGGAGTCCTAGCCAATCCTATAAGATAAGGAAAAGAAATAGAGATATAAATGTTGGTGAGGAATACTTATCAACCTACAAAATTCAAAAGTATCAAATGAAAAACTATTATAACTAAGAGACCTTAGAAAGACGGCCAGATAGAAGATAAACATTCAAAACTCACTATCTTTCCTATATCCCAGTAATAGTCAACAGGAAAATTTAGTGAGAGAAAATATTTTCAAAAGAAAAAAATCATTAAATACGTAAAAATAAACTAAATAAGACACATACAAGACCTATATAAAGAAAATACTACTGAAAGACAAAGGTGATCTAAATAACGTTAAGAGCTATATAATGCTTCTGGAACTAAGGATCAATATTATAAAGATATTAATCCCAGTTTATCTATAAATCCATTGTCATTTGAATTAAAACTGAGTAGGAATGCAGGAATGAACAACTGAAACAATGGAACAAAATAGAGAATCCATAGAGACGCAGGTACATAGGGGATTTAGTATTTGATATAGGTAGAAAAACGATGATTTGTATTATTGAATAAATGTCATTAAAACAAATGACTTCCCACTTTGTGGAAAAGAACTTAGATCTTTACTTCTCATCATATAACAAAAATAAATCCACGCTGATAAGGATCTAAACATAAAATCAAGAGTTCTATAAACCATAAGGAAAATACTGACATATTTAATAACATAAAATTTTAAAAACTTCTATATGGTTAAAGATACCGTAAGTAATTGAGAAAAATATTTGTATTGTATTATAGAAAAAAGGTTAATATCCATAAAAAAATAACTCTAAGTCAATAAAAGAAACATAACAAAGGACATGAATAGAAGAAATAAAATTCACAAGAGAGACACATTCACTAATTAAAGAAATGCAAATTAAAAAGCTCTGTTTCTGACGTGTTTCTAGGAGTACAGACTACTACATGTTTTTGGAAGGTAATTTAGTTTGGGGAAAAAATATCTGTCTATAAAAGACTGTACATTCTCTCTAACATAGTAATTCTGCTTCTAAGGCTTTTTTCCTAAAGAAATAATCCCATGGATATGTAAAGATATAACATTGTTCATTTCAACAGCATCTCTAAAGAAAAATATGTTGAAATTGATTAAATAAATTGAGGACATAGTTATACAACAAAAACTACATATACAGAAAATGGATTACATAGAAAGAGAGTCACAATTATTTTTCTATTAAGTTAAAAATAAAAACCTATTATAGACGGTATGCTATGATCCAATTTTTGTAAATATAAATAAACAAATAACAGCAAAGATAACAGATGTCTCTCCGTATTTGTAGATGCCTAGGAAAACTTCAGGGAAAGATGCTGCCTACTAATCTACGGAGTCTGCTTAATTCTGGGAAGTGGGACTTGGGATGGGAGTGGAGGGAGATTTTCTGTTTCTACCTAACAAAAGCATGTATTCCTTTTATAATTAAAAGGATACTGAGAAAAGAGAAAAGGAAGGGAGAGAAGAAGGGAAGAAGGGAAGAGGGAGAGAGGAGAGGGGGAATCTGGGAGGTGGAAGCATGCAGGTATAGTAAAATAAGAAGAGAAGCCACAGCTTCAAAGGAACATTCGCTCCCCACAAACTCACCATTAATGTCCGAGCTACATTACAACCCAAGGTACCGGCTCCAAGCAGCAGACACTTGACAGACACAACCTTGTCTAAGTCCAAAGTGGGGACCAATCTCCAACACATCAATTTGAGATTTAGATCCACTGATGACTCTGCTAACCTAGAAAATAAGAGAACTATTATTTATTAATTCAGTCAGTCACTCATTTATGCCTCATTCTTGTCCTTTTTAGATATAAAGTGGCTGTATGAGAAAACAAGAAACAAATACTAAGGAAATTGAGATCAAAGGGAAAATAAGATGGAGCTTGAGGGTAAATGGGGAGAAGAAAGGTTACCATACAGAACGCATGCCACTGTAGTCCTCTGTAATTGCTAGTGATAGGCCACAAATTTGATACTGAGCTCTTAGCAGCCAAGGTGAAAAGGGAAGGATGACCAGCTATAGGAGTCCAGGAACAAAAACACATCAGCTGCTTAAGAGGAAAGTTTTCCTAATACTGAAAACAGAGAAATTTCTTCCATGGCCCCTCAATAAAGGGTGCACTTAGATCCTCCCTTAAACACAATACTGGTTTCTGTGAAATATTTCTTATAATGTCCTTCAGTGTAGGCTAACAGGACAAAATTAAAGGGCAACGAATAAAGGACTAAAAGGTGCAGGTATACAGGTCTGCGAGTCTGAGCTTGAAGCAAGACAAAAATTTAGAATGTCTAGAAGAACAGATGAACTGTGTGCCCTTCAGGACAGCCATCATTAATATTAATTCTCACAACCGAACTTAAATTAAGAGTTAGGCAGCAAAGAGTGGAATAACACTGGTTTTCAATGTGAACGCCACCCCTGCACTGTGTTGGGCAAAGCAGTTGGCCTGACAGAACCTCGTGTGTGTCCTGGTTACAAAAAGCCCCCCTGGAGAAAACAGCTTCCACAATATACCTTTTAGGGTCCATACATTCACTGAGGTTCACCATCCTCGGTCCCATGCCTCCTTTCTGGTTCTTTTCCCATCCGACTGCTTTAGGACAATCTTAAGGCAAATAAAACAATAAGTTCAATGAAAGAGAGAATAATAAAAACAAATAAGTCAGGCAGCAAGCTTGCTTTTAAAAGGTTGACATTCACCATGCACGCACTGGTGAACTGCTAGTTCACTTCTATCTCAAAGAGGTTCATGGGTTCTGCCCCATCTTCCTCAGCCACTAGGAATCCTGTTAGCGACCAGCCGACCCAAGCACAGTCTTCCTGCAGAGGGGCTTCTGAGACAGCTCTCAACTCTGGCCTGAGTTGCCTCAACTTCTGCAGTTACTGGAAGTGGCTCAAAAAAAGATGATCATATTTGGGGTAGGTATAACCCTGCGGAGGCTCTCTACCTGAGGAAGATGAGGCAGTGTGACCCTTCAGCACACCTGCTGACATTCCCATCGGGATGTGAACCTCTACGTTCAGTACATCCCTTCTGTTCCTCATCCTTGCCATGCCTCTCTGCTCAGCCTCTCAACTCCGTCACTGTGCACCTACTGTGTGCAGATCAGTCCACAGGGACTGTCCCTCTGCTAAGCTGCCCTCTCCTTCAAGCTCACCCTCATCCACTCAGGCGTTCTCCTTCTCTGACTTAGCTCGTCTCTGCCGACCTCTTTTAACATCTGCTACGGGAGCCTCTGTAACTCCAAATCCAGCAGTCCTCAACGTGTGCCCTACGCCAAGCTCTGAGAGGATAAAGATCCCATGGCTAAGGAAGGCTTGGGAAACGCTTCTAGACCCATATCTATGTTCTATACCCACACCTACCACCACCCAAACGTGGCGATTCCCGTTGCACGTGAGGGAGGTCAAAGCTCTGAGAAGCCTGCAGTAATGAACCACTTTATTTGATTGGTTGTGTGTTTCCCAAACTGACCTGGCTGTCCCTATCTCCCTCCCTCATCCCGTAACACCAATTCAAATCTCACGGCACACATTTAGGAATATGCTGCTCTAGTCTATCGTTGCAAAATCCTCTTAAAAACCTCAATTGCTTTGTAGAATACTCCTGCTACCTCTTCACCTCACCAGGGAAACCTGGCCTTGTAAATCCTGCTCATGAGAGCCACCCACTCTCTTATACTCCCCACACTTCAGGACCTCGTTTACTCTTCCTTTCTCACTGAATCCCTGAAATTCACAAGAAAGCCTCAACTCCTTAGCAGAGATTTCACCCAGCCACAGCCTGCCCTTCCAGCATCCCCTCCAATGTCTGCTTAAGTAACAGTCTCTGAAGGAACAGAAACGCCCTGACTTAAGATTAAGATGTGCAAGACTACTGGGAGGAATTTTACATTTGTTTCTAATTGTACACTGGTGATCTTTGGCCATTCTCCTACTTTTAGATTTCTATCAACACCTCTATTTTCCTTTACTTGGGGACTTTTTAGCTTTTGACCTTTGTCTTTTAAAATAGTATTGCTCAACATAATTATGGGACCTAGAAGGTGTAGAAATTCCTTTACACAATCTTTTCTTTCTGGGATAGGATGACCAATGGGGAATCATGGGGCCAATTATCCTCTAAAGCTACTTGGGCCCCAATTTGGCTGGGGGCATCATTCACCTCAGGAAGCAAGAAAACAAATGGCCCCTCTCATTTTAACTCAGGCACTCTGGTGTGGTCCTATTTTTAATGTTAGAAAAATTAAAACTGACATAATAGATTTGAGTTCTTAAAGAGGTTAAGACTTCAAAATTCTTTTTCTGGGGAAAAAAGAGTTCAGACCTATTACTAATTAATATTTTGTTTGATTTCCTTGCTATTCTTACTTATTCTTACTTGCTTATTCTTCAAATAAAAAATGCTTCTCTAATATATAGCACAGAAACTTGACAAGAACTTCAGAACCAGTCTAGTACTGTAATTAAAAACTCCAGTCTATGCTTTCTCCTGTTACAGATAAGAAATCCTAAGACAAAAACAAAATATCATTTCAAATTAAAACATCTCAAACATTTTGTGTACTCAAAATGTTACAGCCATTTCTAAGAAAATTAGATATAATTTAAACTTACTACTAATAAAAAAAATACTATGTATGACAATAATATTTAATCTGTTAAATCTGCCTCCATATAAGCTACATCCATAAGACAGACCCTAAATTAATAAAATATTTTTAGGGAAAAATGAGGTCCTGTTTTCCCACAGTTGGGTAACCAGGAAGAGCATGTCAGGACAGAAATTAAAATGAGGGATCTCCCACTCCTGCAGCGTCTGCTGCCTCCTTCAGCCGGATGCTGGAATACTCTTTGTAGCAGCAATGGAGAGTGGGCCTGGCTGCACCATGAGGAGCAAAAGAAGATAAAGGATATCTAAAGTTATACTTCTTATAGCACTGCCATTGCAACTACAGGATGTCTTCGAAATACTAAAAAGTACTACCACACTAATACTTTCAGTTCACATTAGGTTACAGAATAACTCTTCATAAAGATTTATTTACTATAAAGTTTTATTTACAGCTAAGAGGGAAAACATTAATTTAAATGGAAAAAAAAAGAAAAGAAAATCTGATTTTCCTAAATTAAATAATCTACACTCAATATCAAGCATAAAGAAGATGTGTTGAAGGCATTATTGGACTATAGAAAACCTCTTTTTCAAATGGAAATGTACAGCATTTCCTGGTTTGCCAGCTTCACCAAGCATACCATTGGTAGCGTATCATTGGTAGCAGGGAATAAGAGTACTTCAGTGACTTTATCATAAAAATGGAAAGAAAACTACCTCCTCCATAGGGTGGTTGCCAGGATTAAGTGAGCAACGTATGGAGGGTAACTGGTAGACTACCAGGCATCGACCAGGCACACATTACTTGTTAGTTAACTCTCACCTCATTCCCCTAGAACCATCTTCAAGTTGTAGCTTAATAAAACAAAGGTATAGTATTTAAGTTACATCACGTGGAAGCTATTTTAGAATGTGCCAGAAGAGGGTGCTAAATCAAATGGAAATATCTAAAGACAGCACACAGGGAACAGATTCCTATGGCTCTCAACCGAGAAGTTATAGCTTTTCCTTTGCCTGACCAAGCAGTCCTCTGTCAATCTTTCTAAGAAGTCTAAGATATTTATCAGTGCTGTGGCAAAGAGTCACTGATAAAATGTCATCAGAGCCAAAGCTGAACCGTTTCGATTTCTATACTCTAGAAATGACATCTCAGAAGAGATTTTAACACCCCACCACACACACACTTTAAGGCACATGACCCATGGATTAAAGAAAGCAATGTGCCTTGGAACAATGCAGACGTTGTGAGGAGCAAATTAAATGATGTATGCGGAAGGACTCTGGAAAGCATGTAAGTGACAGAGATCTGAGGGATCATTTTGGAAAGAGTGCTGGGCTCTGGGTGAAACAGGAAATTAACATAAATTAGCATTTATTAAGCACCTATAATATGCCAGACATTGTGTTCTGTCTTTTACACCGGACACAGATTCCTCATAAGGGATACTCTATAAGGTGGGTATTATTATCTTTATTTTACTCACACTTGAGTATGTATTCTGTTTCTGTGATAGGTGTATAAATATATAAATAAATGTATGTACATATATTCATACATACACATATATACACACACACACATATATATCCTTATATATAAAATGTGTGTGAGCCCCAGTTTCCTCATCTATAAAACGGGGATAACAGCTGATGTCTACTGCACAGGATCAAATGTGGAAGGGGAAATGGGACTTTTGCTGGCTGGTCTACTGTACAGAAAATGGATCACACATAACTTTATGAAACAAATAAACATCTAAGCCCATTAATACTTCATTCTTCTTTTAAGAAGGGTCAGAAATAAAGATGTTGTGTTAATCAAAAACAAAAACTAGGGGGAAAAAAATCCACAAGATTGAAAAAACTGCCTGGAGGAAATTTCCTGAGGACAATCTTCGCCTTTGTTCCTGACTGAATAGCAGAGCCCCCTGTTCAAGGGAAGTGTTCGGTTGGCAAAGAGGTAGGAGTTATACTTTTCTCTCCCTTCTGTTCCCATTGTGAAGGGATGAAAGGAAAGTTAAACCTGATTTGGTTTCTGATAAATGATAATTATATGCATTCTCAAAGACTGGCAAGTTACCTGGGCTAAATGCCATTTCTGGAAGCTTCACTTCGAAGATGATGCTGTGGGCGACGTCTCTCACCCCCTGCATGGTGCGGTCCCGGAAGCAGAGGACTTCAACAGACTGAAAACGGCTACTCCTGTTGTCAGGCCCCGGATTTTTATTTATTGATTGATTATTATTTTTAAGAAAGGAAAAGAAAGGGCTCACATAAGAGCTTCAGCAAATCCAGTTGGAGAGAATTCAATTCATTGTAATCATGCCTCCCTGACACCCTCAGGGGGTGGCCTTAACCTCTGAGAGATTTGAATACATCCAAGTATGCTTCCTTTGAGTAAGTGTTTAGAGGCTGAAGGCTGAATTGGCTGTGCTGTCTTTTTAGGTGAATTTTATATAACAATCACAATGCACATATGTAATTCTGACAAACAAATCTTAAATACAGAGAAAGAAAAAAGCTCAGAAGACATTAAAAAGAACCTCTAAGGCACACACGGGTTCTTCTGGTCCCCCTTCTCCCCATCTGAATTTACATTCTATGCAACAGCACCTCAGTCAGTAGTTAGGAAGCCCATTTGCCTGATACAGACACACCACCTGGGTAAGTAAGTATAATCATTCTCCCTCTAGGGACAATCTATAATTTAGCTAGCTTCATCTTTTTTTTTTAAATAAACATTTTTATTTAAGTAAAGCAGATACAAAGACAAGTACACACATCCTAAATATAAAGGAGCCTGTCTCAGGCGTTCTCCTAGTCATTAACCACCCTCTTCAAAAGTAACTACCACTCTCAGTCCATATATGGGTTTTGCCTGTTTTGACCTTTACATAGATGGAATCACAGACTATGTATTCTTTTAGGTCCAGCTTATTTCATTCAACATTATGTTTTTTAAATTCATCCATGTTGATACATGTATCGGTAGTTCATTCAGATTCTCTACAACATCACATTCCATTGCAATGAATACAGCACAATTTATTACCCATTTCTTTGTCGAAGGACATCTGGGTTATTCCCAGTGTTCGGTATTAAGAATGATGCTGCTATAAACATTCTTGTATGTGTGTTTTTGCTTGTATCTGAGTACGCATGTCTGTGCATTCTACCTGAGTGAAACCACTGAGCTACAGATAATTTTAACTTTGCTAGATACTGACAAACAGTTTTCCATCAGCGTTTGAGAGTTCCAATTGCTCCACATCTTCGACCACACTTGGTATTGTCATTTTTTTGAGTCATTCTGGTGGGTATGTAGCAGTGTCTCATTAGTGTATCTCATCACTGTATCTCATCTCTATTAATGAGTAGTATCTCATAATATTTTATGTCCTTGATGTCTAATGATGTTGCATATATTTTCAAATGTATATTGGCCTTTTAGACACCCTCTGTTTTAATTATTTTAGGGTTAGGAAAAAAGGAGGCTAGTAGCAACAGGACAATCCTATCTGAAAGCGACCCAGACAGCTGAAGGGAGGGCTGGAGAATTCCAGGGTTGGGACTCCTGGCTCCTTGCCCTGCCGTACTCTCAAATACCTTTAGTACAGTCTGGTAAGTCCGGAGCTCCATAACGGACCTGCTTAAGGGCTCACTATTGATGGCAATTGGATTGACTAATTTACTGATTTATTATCTGGTTTCTATGCCAAAAATGCATTTGGGAAAACAGAGATACAGATATAGGCAAACAGTTTCAAAAACATAAAGACAAAGGCAAACAGACAGATAGACAGACAGACACACACACATGTAAATACCATCTGTGGGCTGCTAGGACCAAAAAATTCCTCAAAGGCCATCCAGGGTACTGGGCTAAGTTACAGGGATCATACACACCGACTGTTATCTGTGAACAGAGAAGACTTTCTGAGTGAGTCAAGCATCATGTCACCTTCACAATACACACGTCGATAACACTTCCACTTCCCTCTTTATGCCATTTTGCAAAAGCATTAACAAGTAGACACCTGGTGAAGGCTAGAGGGAAGAGAAGAAAGCAAAAGGATCTCACACACCAGATGACAGAACTCCTTGATGGCAGGAGCTGTCAAATTCTCTGCACTCCCTGCACCTTGCATTGGGTGGAGAGTAGGAACTAGATACATTTAGAAGAAAGAAAGATTGCAAGGATAATAGGGAGGGAGGGAGGACAGTCAACTGTCTAGGCTCACATAGAGAAAATCCTCTCCTAAAGAGACAATCTGTGAAAACTGCTAATTTTTATATAATGAGAAAAATCAAAGAAGGGCCACTACCATCGTAAGTCTATAGTCAGATCAAATTAAAAAGCCAAATGCCCTTGATATTGCTAACTTATATTTCCTCCAACCTCTTCCCCTCCAACTCCCTCAACCCTGGCCTCCATCTGGAAAACTCAACTTCAAATATCATTTCTTCAGTTAAGACTTCCCTTGGTGGAAGTAGTCATTCTGTCCTCTCTACTTCCAGAGCTCTTTACATATTATACATAACATTTTTTACTTTTTCTGTCTCCTTTCTCTCAAAATGAGTACCCAACACCTAGATCTTGATTTTTATTTATTTATTTTTTTGTGAGGAAGATCAGCCCTGAGCTAACATCTGATGCCAATCCTTTTTTTTTTTTTTTCTGAGGAAGACTGGCCCTGAGCTAACATCCGTGCCCATCTTCCTCTACATTATATGGGACGCCGCCACAGCATGGCTTGACAAGCAGTGCGTCGGTGCGTGCCCGGGATCCGAACCAGCGAACCCCAGGCCGCCGCAGCAGAGCATGCTCACTTAACCGCTTGCGCCATCGGGCCGGCCTCTAGATCTTGATTTTTAAATACCATTCTCCAGCAAAAGGAAGAAGAAGTCCGTGGACACATGCCTCATTCTAGGGGTGAGGCAGGGAAAATACAAGATGAACCTGGAGCATCTTGTATACCTGAAAGTAAGGAAGTGCTCAATAAACAAAAAGATGAGGGCATGTCAAGGGGACACCAGAGCCAACTGAAAGAGCCCCCAATAGCCAAGCCTGGCCAATTTGAGCAACAAAACAAATAATACGGTATTGGATCATAACCCATAGTATAAAATAAATATGAGTCCACATTGACATAAATAAATGATGAGATAAATAAATAAATGAAAGTAAAGGAACAAGTCTTCCTTACAGAAGATTTCCAAACAATAAATGTAGATACTGCCCCCTCCAGGAGTGGAGCTTAATCCTTCTCCTCTTTGAGAATGGGCTGGACTTAGTGACTTGAGTCTAAAATAAAAATAATAACTTTACAGTTAAGAAACCTGGCAAATACTACCTTAACCAAGTGATTAAGTTTAACATTACCAGGGACGCCATCAGGTACTGCTGATGTCATGTGATGACAAGGGCACTTCACCTTAGAGGAATTCTTTCCAAAAACCCATAACCCCAGTCTAATCATAAGAAAACATCAGACAGGGCCGGCCCCGTGGCTTAGCGGTTAAGTGCGGCGCTCTGCTGCTGGCGGCCCTGGTTCGGATCCCGGGCGCGCACCGACACACCGCTTCTCCGGCCATGCTGAGGCCGCGTCCCACATACAGCAACTAGAAGGACGTGCAGCTATGACATACAATTATCTACTGGGGCTTTGGGGGAAAAATAAATAAATAAATAGAATTATTAAAAAAAAAAAGAAAAGAAAACATCAGACAAACTCAAATTAAGGGGCATGCTACCAAAATAACTGACTAGCACACCTCAAAACTGTCAAGGTCATCAAAAACAAGGAAAGTCTAAGAAACTGTTATAGATCAGAGGAGACAAAGGAGACATGACAACAAACTGCAATATAGTCTCCTGGACTGGATCTTGGAAGAGAAGGAGGATGCTATTGGAAAATTGGGAAATCACAATAAAGTCTAGAGTTTAGTTAACAGTAAGGTAACTAATATTGGTTTCTCAGTTTTGACAAATGTACCATGGTAATGTAAGGTGATAGCATTAGAGAAAACTGAAACTGGGTGAGAGTATATGGGAACTCTCTGCAACTTTTCTGTAAATCTAAAATTATTCCAAAATAAAAAGTTTATTTTAAAAAAGAAGACAATGAGCATCTAGAGAGCAGGGAGTATCTTTTTCATCTCTCCATGATCAGTTCATAGATACCTAGCAGATACTTAGTGAATGCTTGTTGAATGATGAAAAGATGGATGGATAGATGGAGCGGTGGCTGGATGGACAGATGAAAGGAGGGAGGGAGGGAAGACGGCTGGCAGAGAACCATGAGTTAACCCACAGATTTCCTTTGTAGATGTAGCTATGGGTTAAATAAAAACATGACAGATATATTTTTGGTTACTCTAGATCCAGTTAGTTCTGTAAGGATGGGATCAGCCCAAATACTTCCATTTATTTACCACAATGCTCAGTATTAGTGTCAGCCACAAAGAAGGAGCTTAACTAACATTCAGATGGAAAGGAAAGGAAAGGGATCATGCTGTAAATACTGTTTTATATCTGTTATTCTGTTGTGAACTCTCTTCCATGCCAATAAATGTCATTCTAAAACCATTGTCAGTAGTGGCTGAATAGCATTCCGTTGTATTGATGTACCACAGCTTTTTTCTATTTCCCAATGAAGGACATTAAGTAGTCTTCCTCTGTGCTCAATAAATGTCTGAAAATGAATTTTATTCTTGTCTTATCAATATTGCATTATTTCAAAGATATTCTTTAAAAACGTTTGTTGCCTCCTCTGCTATATGAAATTTCTTATTCCTAAGACTGAAGGTTTATGTCTGGCTGCATATTCAGGTCTTAAATGCAAACAGATTCATATTTAATTTAACACACACAGATTCATATGTATGATCATCCTTTCAGGAAATACAGGATACCTTTATTTGAGATTTCCTTTTCCACCGGGAGATAAGATATCAGCATCTAGGGAGGTTTTAAAAATAGAGCTTGCAGGGGGCCGGCCCAGTGGCATAGCAGTTAAGTCCATGAGCTCTGCTTTACAGCCCGGGGTTTGCGGGTTCAGATCCTGGGCACGGATCTACGTACCGTTCATCAAGCCATGCTATGGCGCCATCTCATATACAAAAAATAGAGGAAGATGGGCACAGATGTTAGCTCAGGGCTAATCCTCCTCAGCAAAAAGAGGAAGACTGGCAACGGATGTTAGCTCAGGGCCCGATCTTCCCCACCAAAAAAATAGAACTTGCAGAGACTGCTCTGAGTACTGTCCCTTACTAAATGAGTTGCCTAGGGCAAATTAGTCAACTCCTCCAGGACTCATTTTTTTTTTATCTGAATCATGGGGAAAATAATAGTTCCTACTTCATAGAGTTGTAGTAAGGATTAAATGAGACGGTACTGAACATGAAAAGCCTGCGCGTGCATCGTGCTACTAACATCGTTATTAGTGACTCTGAATCCCCAGGGGTGAGCCTAGCCATCGGTATCTGTATCAAGTGCCTGAGTAACTCTGATGCAGCTGGTCCAGTCCACAGACTTGAATTTGGGAACCATTAGAAAAGGCAGTCTTATAGACAAAAGGAAAAAAAGTCTGTGGGGCTATTTCTCATTACCTTGAAAACTCTGGATTGGCTCTATGTCTTCCCATGCTTGGCAAAGTGTGGTCCATGCGCCAGCAGCATCAGCATCACCTGGGAGCCTGTCAGAAATGCAGAATCTCAGGCTCCATCCCAGCCCTGCTGAATCTGAATCTGCGTTTTAACAAGGACCCAGGTGATTCCCATGCTCACTGCAGTTTGAGGGGCACTGCTTGAATTGCAGGTGGGAATCACCTGGGGAGCTTTCAAGGCCCCTGCTGCCTGGGTCCCACCTCCAGAAGTTCTGATTTCATGAGTCTGGGGTGCGGCTGGAGCTTTAGTTGTTTGAAAAGCTCCCCAGGTGAGTCTAATGTGCAGCCAGCCTGCCAAGTCGAGAAAGGCTGCGAGTCTGCCGCAGACCACCTGCATCAGAATTGCCTGGGAAGCTCTTTGAATTCACACCACCCCCGACCTGATCCCAGACTTCCCTAAGCACCAATACCTGCATGTTCAGTGACCTCCCCATGTGATTCTCATGTACTTTATCATTTTCTGCGCTAGCTGCCTAGAGCCTAAGAAGGAGAAAACAAGTGCTTGCTTAAAATAGGGCTCATTGAACCTTGTATTTTTCCTTATGGTAACTGTGATTACTTGTTAAACCTCTACATTTTCTCGATTCAAAGGCACCACAGATTAGAAAATGCACTTTCAAATTGGACAGAAAAAAAGGGGAACTATCACCACATTAAATATACACAATAATTGTAAGAAATTCTTGACTTTAGAAAAATTAAAATATGAAGAAAAAAGCATTTTAGAATGGACAAAATACAGGATGCATTTCATATCTGTTTCTCTTGCTAGTCCATAAGCTCTGTGAGGCCTCAGCAAATATTTGTTGAATAAATGACAGAATTGGTCAATTTCTCCAGGCCCCAATATATGGAACGCTCCTCCCACCCCAACCTCCACGTTGGGTAGGGATCCTGGGAGGCAGCTGGAGGGGGAAAGGTTGACCTCGGATCAACTGAGACATGAAGTTTACATACAAAACCGTGATGCGGCACCTCGGCTAGCTCCTTTTCGTCCCCTCGCTCCTTTCTCAACACGATAGGTTCTCCATTCACTGCCATTCTAACACTGGGATTCTCCTGGGTGAGAACGTGAGAGTATCGTCTAAAAGAGCATTTCCTATGGGAAGCAAGAGAGCTCTGAGAATGAGGTCTCCAGCCTGGGGCGCCCTCTGAATGAAGACGTTGTCTTCCTGGAGTTCTTCTGGTCCAGCTGGCACTGCTACCACCTGGGACATCTTTTTATTTTGTTCCCTCTATCAACCGTGAC